CGATGGCAGCCTGCAGGTTACAGGTGTCAAACATGGAGCGGAACTCCACCTGTGGCAGCTGCACACCCGCGGCCCTGTACTGCTCCACCTGCATCTCGTACAGCTGCGTGGAGCGCTGCACAAACATCTGGTTCTCCTTCTGCAAAGTATTTGTATCTTGTATTTTTTGGTATGTACATTGTACATGTATATGTATGGACATGATAGATGTCGTTACTGATGCACTGCACAGAAGAGAAGTGGATCAAGGAACTCAAAGAACTCTGCAACAGACCTGATTCAGCTCACAAATGTGCTCTACATGGCAGAGACTGTCATTCTTGTATTGGACTGTTCAGCCATAGCCAAAGCTGAAGGGCTGGTATCAATGAGGCCATTACTTGGGTCAGTGCAGGCAGACTCAATTGGTGATGGCTCAGACCCACAAAGAGTAGAGATATAATATAAAAGGAGGATAAGGTACACAGATAGACTTACCAGGAAGTTTTTGGTGACCTGTGCCACCTCCTGTAGCTGAGGTTCCTCTCTGCTCAGTACATGAACCTGGCACAGGAGCTGCACATGCTGTGGGTAGGGGGAGATACATGTAAAATGAACATGAACATTTTTTATGTTCAAATATTTTTTATGTTAATATGATATGTTAAAAGATGTATTTTGTAGTATTAGTCTACTTAGTATTCATAATCTAGATAAGAAAAGAGGGGGGGCAAAGGTTTTAAGGGACCCACCTCTATCAGTGGCATCAAATGGCTGAGTCGATAGGCTAGCAGACATGAGATTGAGAGGTCATGCAAAAAAAAAGGATCTCGAGCCCTGTTTACCTTTACCTCTACATGATTAAGTTCAGTGTTTCTGACCTGCTGCATCTGTTGCCTGAGTTGTTGTCTCTCCCCCTGAGTCAGGACAGGTAGAGTCTGGACCTTCCTCCCTCCTCCTGTCTCCTTCTTCCGAACCTTCTCCTCCTGAAGCTGCTGCTGGACAGTCTTGTGTGTCTTGGCCATCACAGTGGACAAGGGACCGTCAAAACTGGACACAGGAGGTAATTGTATAGATTGTTACATGTAGTTAGTTTGTTTATTTGCACAACAAAAGCAAAGACACATTACATATTTGTAGTAATACAATGGAGTTTGAAACAAAGCTGACAACAGCCTTATCCTTTATTGTAAGGTCAAGAATCTGGCTTTCCAGCTGTAAAATCGAGATAGGTTAGTTATACAGTTCAACCAGCCACCTGGCCATAATAATCATGACATGGTTAAGCAACCTGCCCTTGCCCAAAAAGACCACTTTTTCTTCTGTCTCTTGGGTAGCCCTCTTGAGCAGGTTTGGCTATACTAATATCTACAGTATATGCATCTGTTTGCTACATTATCAGGAGTACAAAACACACTACTGTGACCCCTGACCTGATGGGAGGTGGCTTAACAAACGTCCTGCTGGGAGGGGGGGAGAGGGGGTCGACAGTCGTGCTGTCATCCAGGCCAGGGGCAGGGTCACCACCCAGCTGTTCCATCTCCTCTTCATACTGCTGTAACAGCTCATCCATCAACTCATTCACTTCCTTTTCTGGAAAGAAAAGTACAAGTACACACTGTCAGTTTTGACATACAAGAAGGTCTTCATGGAAGATCCTGGCGAGGCTTCATGGTACATACAGTGCAGTTAAAATTGAAGCTGTGTAGGTATTTCTGATGTCTACCTGCACCTAACATGCACTGGTCAATAATAAAACCAGCCCAAGGCACTAGGGGGAAATATGACCAATGGTGGCCAAGAATTACTTTGCACTCTACGAAATGGAGGCAGAGAACTGACTGACTTTAACCAAAGAAACAGTGGTGCAGACAATTTTTAATGTTACCTTCATCAGTGCAGGTATGTAGAAAAAAGCATTTCAAGCCCTGCTACCTTTATTGTACAGACATGAGACATACTTGTGATCCTGACGGCGCGATCGTCTCTCAGGTCCTCCGTATCCACCTCCTCCTCCTCCTGCAGGAAGTTATAGTCAGGGTCGTTCTGTTCATCATCAGCATCGCCACTCATATCTGCAACATACATGTACGAAGACATTAACTAAACTGAATTCTTTACGATTCGGTGACAATTTCAAGCCATGGTTCCAGGTTCTGAACCGGCTGGAAGATATTGTGCATAGATTGATCATTCAGTTTCTTAACTGCAAAAAAATCAATGAAGCTATCTTGTATCCTTCTTACCCAGGTCAGTTTTGAAGAGCCCCTTCAGCCAGCCCTGCCATTCAGAGTCGTCACACTCAGTATCGTACATGTCCTGGGTAATGTCGGGCGCGTGGAATGCCGCCTCAATGATGTCAATAGGGGTGTCCTTCAGTGGACACTTGGACCTGGTACGGTTGGCTATCAGTCCCAGGTTGTCTTCTGCATTGAACTGTTCAATGGTAAATAAGATTGAATATTAAGTTAAGTCAAAAGAATAAATCCTGTTTGGTGCAGATAATTTTCAGAGTCAGCTATACAATGTACCTGTGCACATATGCATAAAAAAGTACTTTGATCTCTGGTGTTTTGACTACAAATAGTGCTGTACTCACATCCATGGCACTCCTGGCTGTTCTTCCAGACAGTTCAGACAGCTCCTCGTCAAACGTGTCCAGTTCTGAAAGGAAGGCTGCGTCTGTCTTCTCCTTACTCAGGGGTGGGAGGGGTGGGCCCATGGGGATGGGCTGGATCTGGAAAAATTCAACATTTCCTAACATCATGTTTACTTTAAATTAAAGATATTTATATTTCACTGCAATTCAATTTTCTACTGGTGTGATTGTTTCAGTGACAGTGTTTTGGACTGGTCAATTTTACATGTACATGCAGGTGCAACTGGAAGAGTACATTCTTGCAAAGGGAGGACATTTTTTCCAAAAAAAAAGTTCATTTAAACTCCAATGCTGGTGTTTTCACCTTGATGTGAGGTTCCAGTGACTTTCCTCCCTGCTCCACCATCTCTGGTTTGTCGTCTGTATCTTCGCTGTCATCCCTCCTGTCAGACTCTGAGTAGGTTCGGAGAAACTGGCGTGGCGTTGACGGCATAGGCGACCCAAAATCACTGCAGACAAAAATATGTCAATAAATCAGGGCTCAGAACTTTTTTTTGCATACCTGAACTGGTGCAGGCAACTTTAAAAATTACCTGCCATAGTAGTCAGGATAAATTCTGTATATTTCTTTATTTGCTTCAAGTCTATATCTATGGAGGATTGCTACAAAATGCAGAGAACATACCATGAACGTAATGCTTACCTTGCCTCACGTGATGCTATGCTGTCAATGTCACTTTCTTCATTCTGTCAAAAACAACACAAAGGACAAGAGAGAAGTGTTAAAAGAATGTGTTGGAAATTACAATACCATCCTATTTCTAAATGAAATTTTCTTGACTAAAAAACTTTTTCCGCAGCCCAAATATCATCAGAACAGTAAGACTATATTCATAAATTTACAAATAAATGATAGGGTAAGTAATCAGCTGCTTAGAAGCAGTCATCATCTAGTTTTCTTCATGACACTTTCTTTGAATTAAGAAAATACTGTACACATACCTCATCATCATCAGGCTCATACTCATCATCATCCTCATCCTCTTCAAAACTCAGGTCAATGAACTTTGCAGGCTGTACAACAACAAACACAAACACATTTTAAACTTTAGGGAAGCAGATATGGTTTGTGTCAATGAATTAAGTCATAGAACACATTGATACCCATACGGACATACATGTATGATGAAATTAACTCTTATTACATCATACTTTATGATTCATATATTCCTGGTGACCACATCCTTGACCAAAGCACATAAACGTGTCAAAACCCTGTCAATTAAGTGAAAACCCAATCATCACCCACTTACTTTGGAACCCAAACATACAAACCTAGCATAATTAAGCACCCCCCAAAACAATACTTCTTTCCTGGAAGCAACAAGAAAGACAGCCAGGAATGAGCACTTGAGAGGTTGTCATTTTTTCTATAAACTTGAAATGATTGCATACCTGAGAATCAGCTGGCTTCTTCACAGGGGAGATGGGCCATGGCACCACAAACTGAGGAAAGCAGGTGGGACTTGTTAGAACATGGCAAATACATTTCTGTAATGGTGACTATTTTACTATATCTTAAACATTTTTGCAATCTATGTCATGTTTTCCTTTGGCATTATCACAATGAAATACATGAAGTTCTACACTATGTTGGTACTACATGTAGGTGATTACTCACACTGCCTTTCTCTGCTACTTCCTTTGCTCTAGCCCGAGTCATCTTGGGTTCCTATAAGAGCAAAGAAAATTGTAGTTAGGGCTGATACAAGGCTCAACATCATTCAACCACCAAGAAATAGTGACCAGTTCAATTAAATTTGTCTGGTCCAGGTAATTTTCAATGTTACCTTCATCAGTGCAGGTATGCAGGGTATCAAAGTAAAAGTAGTTCGAGCTCTAAGTCTGATGAGACTTGGTTAAATGCGGGCACTACTTACGAAGAGTTCAGCCAGTGGGTTGTTGGGACTGCTGTCTCCCTCTGTCTCCTCCTCTCCCTGGTCCTCCTTCACTGAATGTCTCATCATGGCGACAACATTCTCATTCGTGATCACACGCTACAGGGGAAATAGCAGAAGACCATTCAAACCTAAAAGTTTCCGTAATTCAATTGTTAAATGTAATGTTTCCAATACTGATGACATAAATTTGAATAAAATATGTGTATTTGGGTCATACAATAGAAAAAATCTATAGCTTGCAACCTGTCTTTACCTCCGGGGAAGGAGATATCCTTCCGCGAGGAGGTTTTACTATTGTTCGAAACATTTCTGTCAGCAGCTGTTTCTCGCGATCGGCTGGACGGATTTGTCTGTTGTTCGGTATACGTATTGCTATTGGGCTGCAGATGATGCAGAACGTTTTTGTTTAATTGCATATGTGTTTATGGGCGTCGAAATAAAAGGTTTTTGAGTGCTCCCGACACCCCCGCCATGCTGAAAATGGAATTTACCATGTTGTTAAGGAATGGGGAGGTTGCAGTTTTGGGTCTTACCATTCAAAAGGGGTCAAACAGAGGGGTGTCTGGTTCCGATAAAAACGTTGGGTGACGGCGCAGCAATGACGGCGCGGGATGACGGCGGGGGTAATGGCGCGGATGACGCTGAACGCTGGGTGCAAGCCGAGTCAGCGCTAGATCTTCGTGTCGCGGCATTTATTTCCAGAAATACGGCGATACACGTCAATTTATTTCAAGTACAGCGCGTAGCTAGCATGGCAGCAGCCAGCAGAAGCGGTGGGCGGGCGGTATGCAAATCTTGCATGACGTATCCGCGTTACGCGTCTCTGATTGGTTGTTCGCTTCAGCTGAGATCGCCGGGCGGCAACATGAAGGGCGCGGGGACGCGAATTTTCTGTTTGAAAATATGCACTAAACGCTGTTTTCCAGGACTGCATAGCCACATCTAGTGAAAAAGTTCACAATTAATATAAATTTGGGGGGAAATGTTTGTTTCTTTGTCGATTTATGGTGTCGATTTATGGAACCCGGAAGTGCAGCCGAGACCAGCGCGCAGCGTAGACCAGCGTGGCAGTTTGACGTGTACGATCAAAACATAAACAAAACTCCCGCTGAAGAAGGGAAATTATCCTGTATGTATGCATTTCAGATCCCAGTGACTATGTTTACGATGGGAATAATTGTGGATACGCTCGATGCGCACGATAAGCCTCAGAAATTTATGTCGCACGTGGGGCATTCTATAGGCTTGCACGGCCAATGTCTGGCACGCTACGCGGCGTACGTACACTGCTGCACATCACAGCCAGCGATTCAGTGTCTTAAAATATTTTTTAACATCAGTATAACAATATTTTTAAGCATATGTGATCAAATTTCTGTAAAAAAAATTTGCACAATTGTAAACATAAAACATGAATAGATCGCTGCTATACTGGGCGTACCATTTCGCGTACATGGCCAGCTGCCCGGCGCAAATACTGTCCCGATTTTTCTCAGTAGAAAACCAGAATAAATCACGCACCCGTAATTTGGCTTCGACCCAGAGCTCCTACTTCAGAGTTGAAACCTCAAAAATAGTAACTTTATTAGAGCATGGAGGTATTATACCTCTATGATTGGAAGAAATATAGTATTGCGACACGTGCATAGAATTTGACAAATGGGGGGGGGGGCGTGGCGCTACCTGAAATTCTGCTGGGCTACCTAGTTTTTGCCCTATAGGTAGCACACTGTGCTACTTTGCTCAAAAAGTATTTCGAACACTGCGTTAATCAACAGTCCATACCGAACCAACCGTCAGTAGCCATCAAACCGGCATACAAACATATTACGCACATAACTTTCATACTACACACAAAAAAATAACCTAAACCAATAGAAAAAAAACCCGGAGGTTTGAAATCTACGATTTCCCTTGTTATTCTTAAGATGATGTGGACACCTGAACATTTCAAACTTGGAAGTCTATTCTATTTAGATGATTTTACTTTACCATTGGGATAATGATTCTAAAATGAAAGAGAATTATATTACTTCAATTATGAATTGCCCTGAAGGAAAAATTCATCATATTTTCAAAAATCCTTCATACAAAATAGTTGTTGTTGTTGTTGTTTTTTTGTTAATCTATAGTACCCACATGCAAGATGCTCTTGACATTAGTTGTTGATAGGCTGTAGTTCCTGCCGATATCCTCCAGGTGGCTCTCAAAACTGGGGTCCAGAAACCCAGCAGAGCTGCCCT